TACATACATACATACATACATACATACATACATACATTACATACATACATACAAACATAACATACATACATACATACATACATACATACATAAACAGATTTTTTTTAAAATTTAAATACAAAAAATCAAAAACTTCTCAAAAAGGACTACAGTAATTTTTTAAAGACTAAAGTGGAGTGAAGAATACTATTTAAACAGAGAAGTATGATTTTGCTTGAAGCATTTAATTGTCATAATGTAATTTATGACGATATTGCTCTTTGACAGTCCTTTTTTTTTACTAAGGGAAACAACCCTGTGATTATTGCGTAAAATGTAGAAAGCATCATTTATCTACCTTCTTTCAGCCGTCAAAGCAAAGCATGATGTGTATGGATGATTCTCTACGTCTGTGGTACGTGCATAGATGTGCACTGAGATAACTCTATGGGTACATATAAACGGCCCTGAACAGTTTTTAACCCTCTCCGTACGTCGGGTTTTACTATCGTATCCATACGAAGTGGGAAACTCTGTAATTTACTCTTTACCCTTTGCACAGCAGTCTGTCAAAATGATTTTTTGAGAAATACGGAAAGCTTCAAAGAGATCTTCGTACTAGAAGTATTCTAAAAGGTGAAGAATACAACCCCTTTAGTACAAAAGGACCCCAGGGTGTACGGATAGGGTAAAAATTTGTTTCAGTGTATGTGTACAAAAATGACATTGTTTTGTTTTTAGCCGAGGGTGAGTGGGCTGACAGATGAGCCATGCTGAACTAAGGTCTAAGGTACATATGCTCCCGGTTCAAATCGGGTAGGCCTACTGATACCTTCTACAATTTCCTAAACTTCGGACGTTTAAGGTAGGAGTTTTGAAAACTCTCAACTATCTTATATTAGCCTGTTAGATCTTGATCTATTGGAGATAGACCTAGATTTTGGTTGTCCTAAATAATTTTGCGATCATTTAACCAGAATTAAAATAGCCATTTAGAGAGATAGATAGATAGATATATAGATAGATAGACAGAGAGAGAGAGAGATATA